AACGAGATCACTGAGCCGAGTAACACAGTGGATATATATATAATATATTTATATCGGTTTGGTGTGGCCATTTCAACGAAATATGAGGTGCACATCTACATGCTATAGCAGTTCTATATACAAAATTTCAACGTTCTGAGGCTACTTGTTTTTGAGTTATGCGAGATACAATACGTACGTACGTACAGACACCACGAAAAATTCTCTTCAGAATTCATTTTTAAGCAGTTTTATAATTGTTTTGGAGGAAAGAGTCTTTTGTTCTGTTCTTAAGTTCAGATGTCATGCAAAAACATCATTAAATTTCATTCCATAGTGGTCAAAATGAATATTTTCGTTGAAATATGCTGTCAAACTTTTCGCGATTACAATATTTCATTTTTACTTCGTACCAAGGAAGTAAAAATGAGAATGAGAAGTTTCACAACAACTCAGCAGGAAACAGGGATCAATTTGGCAGGTTAATAGTCTCAGCTCCGATTTAACACTTTTAAGTTTTACAGGATTTTTTTCCCATAGACAGTCTCTTTTGAGGGAATAAACTAGAATTCCATACGGTATGATGGAAGATTTATGATCTCTAGCAAAGAACTGCAGTAACAAATGTATTTATAGCTTTGTAATTCTTCAGATCTGAATTCTGAAGTCTGCCATGCAACAAATGATTGAATGAGCTACTAAAATGTATTTTTAAAATCAAGGCTTTCCTTTACTAATGATGCTAAACAACACCAGAAAAAACTGCATACTACTTAGGTGCTTAACAGAATAGCAAACTTTAGGACAATATATTGTTTTCCACATGATTTGGCTATCTACGGTAATACTCATTACAAATCATGATTGGCAAGTTTTTTCCACAGTGGGGAAAAAACCATAAGGAAGAAATATGATTCTTCCATTAAAATTGCAGAAACTATTTTAAAACTTATTTCAGATATGCTTATATTATTATATCTACACTGTAATTATTATATCTACACTTTATTAACATGTAACACTGTTGATTTACTAATTTTTAACATTTTTATTTCTCTGTAATTTAATTAGCCTTCTTTGTATGCTTGCAATGATCTTTTTTTTTGATAATATTATACACTTGCTATGAGATCTGCTTTCACATCTTAGATAGATTCTGAAATTGAATTAAAGTTCTTATGAACAACAAAAAAAGCAAAACAACAATTATTTAGAGAGAATATAAAACAAAATTAAAATATACATTTGTGTAATAACTTATTTTGCAATTTTGAATGGACAAATTCAAAAAAGAGGAAAATACTCTAATTCAGCTGAACTTTAACCTTATAAAACCGGGCCGAAATCCTCATAATATAGCCTTCAGACCGGCGCGATCCGAAACAGTTTTGCCCCTCTTTCACATTTTCCTAATGAGAAAAGTCGTTAGTCCCCCTCCATGGATGAAGTAAAATTTACATGTTTGTCGGACGCTTATGTTCCATAGTAGAGGGGTTGCTAGATTTGCAATTTTTTTCGATGATTATTTTGCTTTCATTTAAATTGAAAGTTCTAAAATAAATAGTGCATAAATAAATGTGCAGTACTGGATGCATATCCAGTGCACACTTTATTTAGAACAAAATGTATGCAATGTTTATATTTCACTCACTATTTCTAATCAATCTCGTAAATAATTTGTGAATTTTTTAACTTTGTTTTCACTCTTCATTTATATTCGCGTATTTTCGTATTAGAAATTAGAAAGCGAGAACAAAATTTAACAAAATATAGTAAATACAGACTAGATCTGTAAGTCTGCAGGCCGGAATGCGATTTTTAATAACATATTTTCATTAATAAAAAAATAACGGTAATGACTAATTTAATGAAATAATAATAATAATATTTATTACCATTAGATGATTAGAATGAGATTCAATACAATTAGATTTTGAGATGAACTTACAGCAATAATAAAGCTTTACATAACAATAACAGAGATTGAAAATCTGCTTTTTTGATAATTTTGTTATTATAATATAAAAATCAAAATCCGAGATACATTGGTTGCGTTTCAATCATTTAACTTTTAACAAATATTACATTGGACTATCAGGCAAAGAAGGTATATCTTTAACGAGAATTTTTCTTTGTAAAATTGGCTTTTGTTTATGTTAGCCGAGAAAAAAAAAATCCGTGACCTATACATGCAATCATCAAAAGAATTTTGAGAAACAGTTTTAAATGTTCATGAAGAATTAATTATACGTCAATTTCTTTTCATAGGTAGAAATTTCGTCTAAAACCATCGTTATATCCAAAGGTTGAAGTCTATTTCATTTTCAACGAATATTCTATTTGCACATAATATATTTTCTAATTTATTTTAGAAAGAGTAATCTTTCACGTTTTCAAAAGAATAAGGAAATATTGGGTGTTGACACTTACAATGTAGTAAATCTGTTTTTCCTATTTCTTCCAGTAATGAAAACGATTACCCTGGAATATTTTCAAAGCAAAATTAAGAAAACCGTTTACGCCAAATTTTGCATAAAGTATCTTCTCGTGTATTTTTTTATTTAAAGTGTGAAATTTTCTCTTTGAAAATATAAAAAATCATGAACTGAGCAAAATTAATTCACGAGAAATAACTTTGAAATGCAATAATTCCATTGTAATATGAAATAGTGGAGAAAAGTGCAATACAGTGTATTTATTCACTAATAATCCCCTCATATGCGTAATTTATGTACTGTTGATTGAGAAACATAGGTTAGTAAATTAAACTGGTTATTTCAATACTTTTCCTTTATCAATATTGTTACGGGCTCTTCAGTAGAGCGGTAAGGGTGGCTGAAAACTTGAAGCTCGCTTGAGTTTGAATCCCGGCTAAATAGTTGGATTCATAGTTTTTGTGTAACGTAAATGCAAGCCAGCTTCTCTTAGAAAGTCCTCCGCGAAGGCATAACTCCCCTTATACAGGTAATTGTTGTGTGCTTTGATGTAATTCAGTAAGCGAACAAAATTAGTCCAATCAAACCCCGAAGAATGGGTTGATTACATGTGGAGTTTTCCACCAGGAACGTAAATGCGAGCAATTTTCTCTTAAAAAGGTTTACACGAAAGCATCCATCCCCTTAAGCAGATAGCATTTGCGTGCTTTTCCGTAATCCAATCCTAATTTTCATACTATTTAATAGTAAGTTGACATACACCTTATTACAAATAAAATAACAACCTTTTTTAAAGATATTTTTTTATTTAACTTGTCTGAATTCCCTTTATCTCTTGAGGAGTATAAGAATTTCAGCAAATAAAACTGGCCAAAATTTTATACAATGTAACTGATGTTTTGATTCAATTTAGAAGTAACGTGAGCTTTACTGATATTTAAATACGTTTTGGCAGATCTCATCCTAAAAGAGGGTCTAAAGATAAATTTATTTTATTTAATTTACAATCAATGAAAATCATTGAAAGCAATCACTGAATGAATGAAAATCACAAAAACTATTATGTATACAATTGTCTCTTATTTATCTCCTGATAAATCAGACAAAATTGCCTACATAATAGAAGCTTTTTGAAAGAGTTAACAGTTCTTAAGGGTTTTATGCACTCCACAAAAAAATGTCAAAATAAAATCTTATTATTAATAAGTATGAAAAAGTTCATAAGTATGAAATAATTAATATTCATTAGTATTCATAAGTACTTATTATTCATAAGTATGATTTTGCACGCTTAAAGAGAGTGCAAAATCGCTGACGTTTTAATCATAGCAAAAGTCAGTACTAAAAAAATTAGCATTGAAATTATGAGACAGATTGAGAGAGAAATGGCCTCTATTTGATTTTCAAGTATATTGGCACGAGACGAACCTGCAGTTTTTGCCAAAATGTAGCCAAACTGATAAGAAGAGGGAAATAATGCATAGCCAGCGGCTACTCTGAGCAGCGACAATGTACCACCCAGAGATCTACAGATAGGCGATTCTCTAAAATAGAGAGGGCATGGATGGTACGACAGTTGTACCAATGCCGGAGTCAGAGAAAGTCATTCTCCTGGTACAACTGCTGTACCAGCCAGCTTCAGAAAGTTAATCTCAGCTATACTACGCACTTCATGAGAAATTCAGAAATGACACATTCCTTTTTACCATACAAGAATTAATGAATTACAAATGGTATCAGGATAAAATATGATTTTAGAAATGATGTTTCTCAGTAGAGTTGGCAAATTTTCCATGACAAAGAAAATTGGCTGGAATAAATTCATTTTTATTTAGCATCATTATATAGTTGAGCCATTTTTTGGTCCTATCTAATTTCCAATATAATTTTCATACTGCTGTAGCAAAGTTCCAAAGGTATACAAAAGTATGGCAAATGAATTAAACACAGATAAAAAAGTTGCTGGTTTACCAGAGCCTAAAACATTAAACAAAATAAACATGTGCTTACAGCGTTAAGGAATGGGGGAACCACAAATTTGTTTTGAGTTTATTATTAAATTCGTAGTTTCACTAAGACAAAAAAAAAAAAAAAAAAAAAAAAAAAAAAAGAAGAAGAAGAAGAGAGAGAGAGAGAGAATGGAGGGGAAAAACAAGTAATATACTCTTAATGTATGTGGAGGATGGCCCCAAAACTAAGTGCTTAGTTCTTGAACAGTTTTAATTCAACTCCACTTTTTTCCCTTCAACAGCAGTCATGAGTCCATATCCTTGAATCCCTAAAATTATAAGCACTTGATTCATAATAAATGCATGTATAAAATGCATTCGCGAAGGTGAGTAAAATTGTTTAAGGGCTGGATTTAGCTCATGGGCCACTAATTTGAGACTGTGTTAGGTTCTTTTTTAAGTCATTTTTCTCTATATGCGAACACACAGCAAACACAATTATCTATAGTCATGACCTTACATATAACAACAGCATTAAAATACAAATATAGAAATTGTTTTCATTTACTAAACATATTTAGTAACATAATATATGTAATTAAAAATTTATACAATTAGAAATATTGCTATGAATTACCTGATCATTTTGGCCAGGCATTTACATAAGTTTACAAATCGCCGTGCCTCACTTAAACGTGAAATATACACATCATCTGATAATGGTGGCATAGGTAATATCAAGTTTTCATCTAGAGGTACCTTCCTCATTTGATCTATTTAATTAAATACACATATAATTATTTATATTAAAAACATAATATAAGAATTTCAAGTAATATGCAAAGGGGGGTAATATTTCAAGTAATATGTAAAATTTCAAGTAATATGGGTAAAATTTCAAGCAAAGGGGGGTAATATTTCAAGTAATATGCATATCAAGTAATATGCAAATTAAATACACATATAATTATTTATATTAAAAACATAATATAAGAATTTCAAGTAATATGCAAAGGGGGGAAAATTCAAGATTTATGATCACAAAATTATTTTTATTTAAATACTAATACAGTCAAAAGTCGTTCATTCGGACACCCATAATTCGGAATGATCTATAATCCGGACCTTAAAATTAAAAACTTTCTGCGCATGCGCCGCGTTGACACATGCACATAGGCGTTTATGTGTGCACGTAAGACCTTTTACGACTGCGCATATGAGTGTGCGCAAGTGCAGAATACGTTTTTGCGTGCACGTTTTATGTATAATGGACGTATAAGCTAAATAATTATCTATTTCAGTTAATGTTGATGATTGCGTTGTTCCTTAATTTCCGAATTGGATCCGGCTTATTACTTTTTGCAGACTGTAAGAGCAATTTTATAAAAGTAAGCTTAAACTTTCGATTATATCACATAGAATTTCCGATATATATTTGTTAATATGTAAAGGATCTAAAGCGAAAGTATGTTTTGAAATCCGAAATCTGTTTATCAATTTCACGCTGCTCGACGGGGAGAACGCTGCGGCGGGCGCGTAATGAATTGGAAGTTGATCTGTCAGCACTATCCTTATCTTCAGGGCAGATGTTTTTACTTTATTTGGCTTATAATTCCTTATCAAATGTAGTATTTCATCTCGATGTGCTCCGTCTTTGATATGATTTAAAACAAGTTCCTCGTCATTATAATTCGCTTCCGATAGCGAAGAAAGTGACAGAGGTTATTGAAAACGAAAAAATTTCGATTGACAAATTAGTCGGTGTTCTTGACACAGCAATTATAGGACTTGAACTGCGGAACTTTGTAACTGAACAAGAAATTATGTCTGTTTAATAGAATTAAAGAGAAAGTATTATCATATGAAACGAAGCAAAACTTAAACAACTTACATTGAAAGAAATGTTTAATAATGTAAATAAATAAATATTAAGCTTTTTTCTTTTTGCAAATTTTGATACCCTTTAGATCATAATTGTTCTTTATTTCATAAATTACATATTATAAAAGAGTAATATAAATAAGAACTTCACTGTTCAATGTTTGACAATTCAATATTTTCAAAAAGTTAAAAAAGCTCTGACCAATAAAAGAACCTTAAACCTCAATACTTTTTTTACTAAGTCAACTATAATTTTAGCATTATTTAAGGTTTGAAATAATGCATTACACATGATGGAAACGAATCAAAAACTTCAGAAGGATCATGCTTTACTGCAATGCAGAGTTGGATGTAATTCAATTGCAAAGTAACTGCAAATACATATAATTCGATTATGATGTAATTCATTACACTGCAATTACAGTTGCTTATATAATTATAATATAACTGTAATTTGAAATCCTTCAATTACAATATAAATGTAATTATAACTCAGGCAATATGGTTATAATGGAACTGCAATTGCAGTTTATTCAATTACAATGTAACGGCATTATAAACCGTACGATTAAGATGTAATTTGAACTGCAGTATATAATATTGTAAATGTAATTAGATTTCACAATTACATTTTGCCTAACTCTGGCTCAGTTGATAAACTGTTCAGGAAGATAGCTATGATCCAAGTTTACAGCTCATGCAGCAGACCTCCGATTAACTGGGTTAGTACTGGGGATTACATTACAGTTAACTCACAATCATGGTTAAACCAACTGCTACTGAGTGACTGGGGGGGGGAGGGGAGAATACAGAGGAATAGCCTATTTTATAATTAAAAGAAAAAAGACCATTAGCAATGTTTTTTAAAAGCAGTTTAATATGGGGAAATGTTCACTTGTCTACATAATTAAATCAGCAATTAAAACTACATAATTAAATCAGCAATAAAAAAGAACATTTAAAAAAAGTTTTTGTTTAGATCTTTTGAATTTCAATAGGATTCGCTGAAAAACATATAAATTGATTTTTGCAATTTAGCAGTTTATTTTAAATGGATGATTTAATATTTTTATATTGATTTAATGTTTTTATATTCAAGATTGCGAACCTGTTTTATCGTTACATACTGTTGGAGATAAAAACAATTTTAAAAGACTCCAACATTATTTGCTATCACTTGATGTTATCTCATTCATATTTTCTTCTCCTTTTTGCATTTCCCACAGAAATTTTCATTTATATTCTCAGTCTGTGATAATAACTTTTCCATTATTCTGCAATAAACAAACCTTTTTTTTTTTGTAGGGGGAGAGACCAGATGAATCAGCATCAGGGTTCATACACACTTCTTTCTGCATGTGTAAAATAAGTACTTTTATTTTTTAAGGACCATCAATGAAAATTATTGAGGACCCATCACGGACACAGGACTCAACACGTAACTAAATAGCAATTAGCTACATCCAAAATTCACTTATTTGATTTGTAAGAGTAAAATAAATCTACACATAGGATACATTATTATTAAACATGATCTAATATTTAATTGAATCATAAAACAAATTGAAGAATAAAATTAACTTCCCAAATTTTTTCAAGTAATTAGCATTAAATTATAAAATTTCTTGAAACATTAAAATTTAAATTTATAATTGATATTTTAAAGAACACATTTCTTTTAATAAATATTTTTAAGACTTTAATGAAAATTTTACAGAATATTAGTGGCTTTTTAATTTAATTTTGCCTACAGTTAGCTTACATTCATTCTTTCCTTTATGCCTCATTTCGTCACATACTTGCTCAAGTCCAGAGGTATATCTAAATTTTTTGTCAAGCAACATAAGTTAAACTGGAAAGTATAAAATAATAATCATCATGACTCAGAACAGAAGCTTGGCTATTGCCAATGCAGCTGCTTGCTTATAGACAGATGTGAATTCCTGACGTTGGTAAGTTTTCAAAGTTAGTTGCACTTTGACTGACCCAGTTAGTGTCATAGCTTCATGTAGACTTGCTGAAGTTGTAACTCAGTATATACACTGAAGTGCCACTGAATTAGGGCTAGACAAGGCTATGCAAATTTTGTAAATCTGTGACACATTTATACTCAAGTAAGGGCGTTGTGGTAACTTCTTATATAGCTACTACTACGGTTGTTGTTAATCAGTCGTTTCAGTTGCCAGTATAGATAAAACTTCTTATTTAAACACCTTCGATTGCAGACAGGCACTCGACACATGGGCCATTCAATATCCAAAATCGTCGGACGGCTAGGATTTTTAAGGCAGACAGAGTTAAGAGTATAACGAGAATACGTGGATGGTGGGAAAAACCATAGCGATCAGATGGACCAGGATGGTGTGAGATGGCTCAACTGTATTGTACATAGCTAGAGAAGCCAAACATTAGCTTAAATTATCTACCAGCTGAATCATGGCACCAGTCGTATAGTCAGTGAACAGATCGTGCAATGCTCACTTCACTATATGGGCTTCGGGAACCATAGACCCACAAGGGTGCCATTGCTCAATGTATGCGTTTGAGCTGCAAGTCTTGCCAAGGCAAGAGAATACTGAGAATGGGCTCCAGAGGACTGGGAGCAAATAGCATGGAGGTGGTGTTTCTTGATTCTGACTACTTAGCACCAAAGGGAGGCTAAGAAAAGAGCATCAGGCTCACGAAGCCATGGATCCTGAATGCCCGGTTGGAATTGTACAAAACCATGTACACTTAGTCAATGTTCTGGGGTGTTTTCTCTTAGCAGTGTTTGGAAGCTTTGGTACTTGTAGTAACAACCTCCCTCAATATGATTCGGTACATAAGAGTTGCTGGGCGATAATCTCCATCCACCTATGTCATCCTGTCATTCACTCGGAAATGGGGTATTCCAGCAAGATAATTGCACTCATAAGTCCGGGTCGGCTACTGCCCGATTGGATGACCATTCCTTTGACATTTCTGTCACGATTTGACTACCTAGAAGCCGTGACTTAAATCCTATTGAGCATCTTTCGGGTGTTTTGGAGAAAGGTATGAAACTGAATCACATAACACTAGCGACTATTTCTAGATTATGGACAGGTCCATCCGTTGTTTGGCAAGCCATTCTTGTAGAATGCTTCTGGAAACTTATTGAATCTATACCTCATGTGGCAGCTATTATCAAGGGCAGAGGAGGCCCAACTCATTATTGACTTGCTATCCTTAATTTAGCAGCACTTCAGTGTATTATAAAGAGATGATAGATTGCTTTGTATTAAAATCTTATTAACTGTAAGGAGTAAATTTTTACATTTTTGTAATCTATCTTGCACACAGAATAAAAATTAGGAAAGGATGCAATTCAACTTATTATGCAGAGATAATTTACGGATGAGCAGTTAGTTACAAATAATTAAATTATGTAATTAGATATTTTTAAATTATAATAGATTTACATGGTTAAATTACATTTTGTTTTAATTTCTAAAATATATTCATTAAAAAGTACTAAGAACATTTTCAGCAGTTATAATTTATGATAATGATTCTAAAATGATATTAGTGTAACTATATATTAAAAGATGCAAAAAATTGAAGTTTTGTAATAAAACCTTGCCTTTAAGAGCTTTCAAGGAACAAGGTCTTAAAAAAAAAAAAAAAAAAAAAAAAAAATATCCTCCACCAACTTTGTAAGAGCAAGCCACCAGAAGCTTTTCAGGGGGTAATCAGAAATGAGAAAGGAAAAGCTAATTTTCAAGAGAAATCTGACACACATTTAAATATGAAAAAATAACATGGGGAAAATGTCTTATAAAATGGAAAAAATTGAAATAATTACAGCAGCATTTTTGTTTTTTTTCAGAAGTGTTTCGGAAACTGTGCTTTATAGCATTTATTATTTTGTATA